AGTTGTAGATGCTGAAGATCTGGAAGAATTCCAGGAATATAGCTAGTTAGAGCGGATTAAGAAATTAGAGTAAAATCCTGAAAAAATGAAATCTAATGTTGCGAGAACGAAAGTTATAGATGAAGAAGATCTGGAAGAATTCCAGGAATATAGCTAGTTAGAGCGGATTAAGAAATTAGAGTAAAATCCTGAAAAATGAAATCTAATGTTGCGAGAACGAAAGTTATAGATGATGAAGATCTGGAAGAATTCAGGAAATAGCTAGTTAGAGCGGATTAAGAAATTAGAGTAAAATCCTGGAAAAATGGTAATGTTGCGAGAAATAGAAAGTTATAGATGATGAAGATCTGGAAGAATTCCAGGAATATAGCTAGTTAGAGCGGATTAAGAAATTAGAGTAAAATCCTGAAAAAATGAAATCTAATGTTGCGAGAACGAAAGTTATAGATGATGAAGATCTGGAAGAATTCCAGGAATATAGCTAGTTAGAGCGGATTAAGAAATTAGAGTAAAATCCTGAAAAAATGAAATCTAATGTTGCGAGAACGAAAGTTATAGATATGAAGATGATCCGGGAATATAGCTAGTTAGAGCGGATTAAGAAATTAGTTAAAATCCTAAAAAAATGAAATAATGTTGCGAGAACGAAAGTTATAGATGATGAAGTGGAAGAATTCCAGGAATATAGCTAGTTAGAGCGGATTAAGAAATTAGAGTAAAATCCTGAAAAAATGAAATCTAATGTTGCGAGAACGAAAGTTATAGATGATGAAGATCTGGAAGAATTCCAGGAATATAGCTAGTTAAAGTAAAATCTACAAATAAATAAACAGTGTGCAATAGGTAAATTGTCGCCATTTATAATTGTAATTACGTGCATTTTTAGTTTTTTTTTTTTTTTCTATCGACTCTACAGTATAGTAGGGTCATTCGTCTGCGAGAAGAAAAATATTATGACGCATTTCACTCCGCCAGAAGTTGGTAAATGCAATATGTACTGCTTGACATTCGCGCTGGATGTTCCACTACGAAGATTTCAATGTGTTTGAATGTCAATCTGAGGACACTGCAGAGGATTCGAAAGGATCTAGATTAGTATATTGTAATTTCGAAGGTGCGATCATTAATGATGACGATGTTTTATCTACAATGATCTACCCACATGGCCTTAGACTCCACATGTCGACCTCCATCACGTGCCTTGAGAAGTCAGTGCTGCCCTGGGTCAAGAGAGTGGCTGCTGGAATACCCCATGTCTAACAACAGGACTCTGCACCATGACACACAAAGAAGAGAATCCATTAATGGCTGTCAGACAATTATCTTCGACCATATCACTTCTGACATTGGGCCACCAGTATGCCCCAGTATGCATGCACCTGAATCATTATGTCTAGGGCGCAGTTGACCGAGAGACCAAAAAACTCCATTTACCACCAAAGATGAGCTGAAGGCAAGGATTATGGCAGCATTCTCCAACTTAAACAATGGGACAGTCCAAACGAGTTACAGGAGATTCTGAAGTAGTCTCGAGGCTGCGATTAAAGCCAATGGTAATTTTATTGAATAAATGTAATCTTTACTATGTCAAGATATATTTGGCTAATTTTGGTAAATGTATCTGTTAAAATGTGGTGTCAGTTTTATTTTCATTTCTATATCCTTTAGACGAAAATGTATCCATCGCAGCATGTTTATAATGGTTTGATGGAAATCAATAAACGTAATGAGGCCATTGCAAACATGTTTAAAATGCATACTCTCTGTGTAATATCAGCTATGATATACTAATGTAAATAATGGGAGATACGATAGAAAAAGAACAGGAATCTATAGAAAGATCAATGCCAATGAAAACAATGCGGATAGAAAAAGACTTACATGAATCCGAGGAAATACCAAGGTAAGAGATGTGGAATTAAGAAAGCGACCAGAATGGAGGTAGTCGAGAAAACGATGCAAGAATTGATTTAATGAATCCTACTGAATTATAAATACTACAGAAGACAAGACAACAGAAGGAGAAATTTTGATTAGGAGGCCTAATGTCTAATTCTGATTCCACATCTCTTACCTTGGTATAAAAATACGCTTAAATTCAACTACATCCCGACCATGCGCAAACGCCTTAGAGATAGATTCTTCGACTGGCGCCAATTCAGCGGGTTTTCGATCCTAGCTGGAGGCAACTGGTCTAGCCACACTGGCGAGGTGATACAACAGAAAACAGTCTGTCTATGGATAAGAATATATATATATATATATATATATATATATATATATATATATATATTGATTTAATAGAAATAACTCCCATTTATCTATTTTAATGGGTAAAACTATTCGTACAATACAAAAAAGAATACATAATCTTCCGTTAATATTTTGTAGAATAGCCTTTATTCACTTCCGCTCTAACCAATTTCTTGTATTTCTGAATCAGTGATGTTAATTGGTATTTTGTTCCATTCTTCTTCGCCTATGGTCTTCAGATCTGGGATGTTTGTTGGAGCTCTCGATTGGTTTTGAATTTTCAAATAACGCCAAAGATTCACGAATGGATTTAAATCTGGAGACTGACTTGACTATTTCAAGATATTTGCATTATTTTTAGCAAGTTATTTCTTCTTAGTATTTTGCAGTAGGCTTAGGATCATTATCTTCTTTGAAGGTCCAATCAGGAGGAAATCCAAAATTTCCAAACGAAATCATTAAATTTGCTTCCAAAATATTTTGATATAATGCGGCATGCAATCTACCATCTATTACTGATATTTTGCCAGAACTATTGCAGAAAAAATATTCCCAAACCATGGTGCTGCCATCACCAAATTTCACTGTTGGAACTGTGTTCTTTTGTTTCAAGGCATCGACATGTTTCTTCCATACGCGATTTTCTACAAACAACTCAATAATATTGGTTCCGTCTGTCCATAATACTCTGCCAATACGATTTTTTCCTTATCCTTATGTTCACGAACGAATTTCAACCTGGCATCTCTGTGTCTTTTCAATGTCAGTGAAGCTTTTCCAAAGGGAGTGTGACTTTAGATTATTCCTATGAATTCCATTGCTTATTATTCATTTAGTGACACATTCCTGGTGAAAGCAAATCATCCTGCAACTTTTGGGGAGTAATCATTGGAGTTTGTTCAATTTCACGCAGTATTTTCCTGGAAGATTTTGAAGAAACCTTCCTTGGAGCACCTGTTCTTCTTTGGTTTTCAACAGTTTTGAGTTTTTTATACATTGCAATGGTAGTAAATGAAATATTCAAGTTGTCTTTTACTTTCTTTCTAGAGCTTAACAATCAGTTCCTTTTGCGAAATTGTCATTTCATTACCTCTTGCCATGATGATAACATTCTTGCACCAATATCAATTACAGAATGTTCTCTTTGAATTTTTAGGCTAAAGATAAGTATTAATAACATTAGTGGAACATAGTAGAATATTCCACTTGAATAATCTATAGCATTAAAACAATTTAAATGTTTTAAAATCTGAAATTTGCATTATAGCAATATTTTTTCACCCATTAAGATGGATAAATGGGATTTATTTCTATTAAATCCAATTATTTTCTGTTTTCTATGCATATTTAGTTAATATGCATCTGTGTACAGTTAATTATATGAAAAAGTATGTTTATTCATTAGTTGGAAATACAATAGATTAAAAATTCGTATGTGTACAAGTATTTGTTTTCCCCACTGTATATATGTATGCAGAGTTGACCATTCGTATTCGAGGATACCCGTCTACTACGGCGGCTAGCCAATCCCTATTGCAAACGCTTGCTCAGGCGCATTTGTGTTTATTCAACATCCACAGAACGCACTCTTGCAACTATACTGGGAATACCGTAGTTACATTTTCCGGGAAAGAGCGTTTTATCTAGCGTGATCAGCAATTTGAACAAGGCTAGCACGTTCAAGCCCTCGGTCTAGATGACTTGTAACTTCGTGCTATCATAGATATCAACGTCCCCCAAGGGTTCCATTACCCAAATTCACTCACAATCTTGGGTTATATATATATATATATATATATATATATATATATATATATATATATATATATATATAAAAGAAATATAATGTAGTGGTTCCAACGAGAGAAAAGTATGTATATTAAAAAGAAGTGAAGAGAGGTGCCCCAAACGTTTTTGGTTGTAATGTGGATTTATTTAGAAAAAATATTATGCTTTGTTTTACATAATTTTACGACACGTGTTTCTGGTCTCGCGACCGTCTCCGGCAAAAGTGGAGATTTCCACATATTATTAAAAATAATTAATTTTTCCTCATGTTCAATGTTAAATATTCTCGATATGAGACATTTTCTATATATATAATATTATTTTATATATATACAAGAACTTACTTGACTCCAATCCGCAGTTTCGTCGTAATATGTCCATTTTCAAGAGGTTAATCTGTATATTAAATATTTTCAGTTGTAATTACAATTAGAAATATTTAATATACGAATTAACCCTTTGAAATTTGCATATATTACCAGGAGACTGTGAAGTAGGAGACAATTATAGGTAAGTAATTCTTTTGTATATATATAAAAAAAATATTATCAATGCTCGATTTTAATATAGAACACTATATGAAAATATATGCTTCACTTTTTAAACTGGGTCTAGAATAAGCCAACGAAATTTCAATGTTCCATTAACAAATACCAGAATACATGAAAGAAAATATTAAATTCCATACTGACAACGCCTGGATGTTCATCATGTTGAGTTGGGTTGATCGTTTTCTACGGCTTATCCTGTTTCGTATGTAATTCAAAACCAGGAAATACTTATAGATTGTAAGATATTTTTAGATAATGCTATTTACTTATACACGTCTTTCTATTTCACCCATAGCTAGTGGTTAGAAGAGGTGAAATTATACGTTTCCCAAAAGTATGAGTAGTTGGAACTCGGCTCTCTGATTAACAATTCAGAGTCATTATTCACTACACCACCCCACAGCAAAACTTACAGCACTTGGTATTCCCAGCCTGTCACCCATCTGGGTACTGACCAGGCTTGATGTTGCATAACTTTGGTTATCGTACGGGAACCGGTGTTTCAACCTGATGCGGTCGTAATATTTATCATGATGATGGCGGTAGAAAATACTTTAAAATGACTATAAAATTTAAAAAAAGAACCTCAGGTAGTCCGCCCACAATTTCTGTCTCAATGTTATTTGAAAATCTGGAAAAAAATAAAAATCAGACAAACAGATGCTGTCGATTAAATTTACCAGAAACAATACGTGTATCGATGAATACGAACCGCTCGCTCGTCTCGTGTTATATATAGCGATTTTGATTCAAAGAGGTTATCAACGTTTGTTGCTCTTGAATATGTATTCTATAGATTCAGTGTAAAATGGATGCCAATTTAACTTCATATTTGTCTCTAGTGATATACGACTCCTATAGATGGCGCTCCACTATCATTAACGGCTCCTATAGTTTTCACGAATATCTTGACGATTATAGATAATAGATTTGATTCCATCCATGTGCTGACGCTTATGTATGTTTAGCTCAGACAACTCGTACGTAATTTTTGCCAGCACATATTCCATTCGCAAGAAATGTTTTCAGTAAATGCGTAGGAATGTTTATAATCAATCATCTACTTTATTTATAAATGTAACTCGATAACTATATACACGAACGCATAAACTTGCTGTGTAGTTTGAGTCTTTATGAAAATATGATAAATTAAATTGTAAATTGAACTAATATAAGGATATAAATAAAATCACGTTATGATAAATCGAAATTAAAGGGAGAGAAAAGATCAGCTCATTTATGTTGGACTGTAAAACGAAACTGGTTCCAAGGGAAAATAAAACCAGCATTTTTTGCTAAGTTTTCTTCAGAAGGAGGGAATTGAAAGAAAGTAAAATGCGCTTTCGTTGTCAAGTGCTTACTCGCAATACATCATTCACCTCGATCAAGATTGGTCCTGTTCAAAAAACGCCACTTGGTTTTCTCTATTTATTTAAAGCAATACCTCCAGACGAAAAGAACTAGCTACTCCATCAAATCAGGGGTCCTCCAAGGAGACACACTGTACATTTACGCTTTGTTAACACCCATGCCTACGTATTGGAAAATTCCCTCGATAAACAAATTTATCTCGATTTTACTTTATCACCAATATTCTTAGTCGATATCCAGCAATAGGGTTAACGGGTACAGACTATACGTATGAAGAAGCTATCACTAAAGACAGCATTACCAATTCCATAGTTCTAATACATTATCTAGAGATGCTGCTAACGATGTTGGACTCTATGTCAATGCTTCTAAAACTGAATTCATGACTCAATACAAACTGTCTCATATTAATAGAATCTGTCGAATCTTTTACATACCTAGGGAGCAAGATAAATTCTACAGAAAAAGATGTGAAAATACGCATAGTCTGGTTGTCTTGTCGGCGGATAATTTGCGCTGGTAATGAGACTGGACGACAGCGGGGGATTTTATCAGTAACGCTGAATTTTACATGTCTGGCCGGAATGCGCTACCAGTCTATGACGTGGATTAAAGGCAGACTTAGCAGACATTACCGATCGCCAGCAATATGATCGTGGATCGGAGGAAACGGCTGAGTACACCTTGTTCGCGAGTTTGCCGTTGTGGGATTTTGTTTGTAGGTTGACGGCTTGTATCTTTCCCGAGCATCTTGTTTCCATTGACAATTGCCAATGTGATAACGTGTCGCTCTCGGGGTCTTGGGTGAAACCGTTGGTGTTTCTCACTCTGCTAGCTCTGGTAAGAATGGCTGTGAGAGTAATGCGTACGGTGGAAATCTTACGAAACTAACACTATATTTAATTAGCATCTGTTCCTTCCGGTATGAGCTCAATATTATGATCAGCACTAATAGGAAGCGATTAGGTTCGGTAGGATCAGCAAAAGGCTGGTCCGTGTTGCGAGCCTAGTTCGGTTAAATCGGGCCACGTTGGTTTCATGTCTTTGTCTCCTCTAGGCGCAACGTTGCTGATTCCTAAAGGATCCTTCTTGTCGTTAAGCTAGTCACTTTGTTCTAGTTCATGTGAGTGACAATCGCCTCTGGCCTGGTTACCTTTTTTCTTTTTGGTTATCATTCTCTTCACAATTCCCTAGTTCCCAAATTTGTTTCCCAACCTTTTCTGTTGACTGAAACAGACTTTTTACATTTTCCAAATCACAAAATGTTTTCACCCCTCCTACGCCACTAGCGAATGAGCGTTTTATTTCTGGCTAGCGGAAGAATAACCGGCCATATATATATATATATATTAAATAAAAACAGACCACTTTAAGGTTCTATGTAATAAATTATTTCACCACAGCCTTTTAAAGGACTGCGGGTCATCAGACTTTACTTCCAAACAAAAAAGAAAAAGAAAATTTACACATTTTTGACGAAATCAATAATTAAACAAATTCCAAATACAGCAAATGCTAGAATAAATAAAACCATTTGAAATACGTCAAAATGTATAAATTTTCTTTTCATTTTTTGTTTGGAAGTAAAGTCTGATGACCAGGTAGCTTGGTAAACCGGCTTTTGATATGCTGCCGACATGTCATCAGTCACCCATCTACGGTGTTGACCTGACGAATGCCACGATCGGATAGGATTTTCTCATTACTTAACTCTAGGCTCATGTTCACCGCTTGTATAGATATTTTCGTTAGACTAGCTATATTTGGCCTTGATAGCGTTCGCTAACCAAATGCTCCAAATCCCGGCTACCTAGCTTTATCTATAGGGGATAAGCCTAGCCACAGCTCGGACAAGACTATCTTTTAATTCCTTCACTCTTTGACATTATCTAAAGTATAGTCTGTGGGGAGAGACCTCGTGTTATCCTTAAGGTTCTCTCAACATATATTCCCAACTAGCGCCCCAACGAATTCACACTACGCTAATCTAGTTAAATATAGCCGAAAGTCCTCCTTGTCTAACAAGGACAAGTTGAACTTCTAGTGGCTAAATATTCTAGTCCTAGCATCTAAAGCTATCCCTGCACAAGCAAACTTGTTGTCTGAATAGCTAATCTATGGAACGTTGGACAATCTAGTAAAATCGAAATCGGCTCTTCTCACTAACATTCTGTCCAGGTAGCTGAATACCTGGGTAGATAGACATTTAAGGGCCCATGTCCATATCTCCTACCCGGGATGATCGATCCTTTATCAATCGACAAAATTCATCGATCAGATCAACCAAGTGATGGCCATTCAGCTCGCTCCACACTTGGGGGGCAGGGTAGCATTGCAGCCTCCCATTAAAACTAGGCTCGCTGGATAAACCAGGAATGGTCCCATATGTTCGGAAAAACGAGCAAAGCTTTCTCGGATCGTTGGAAACCTAAACCGTAACGAGCCGAAACAAATCCCTTTTTGCGGCATTATCGATCAAGGCCAACCGCGTGAACATGGACTATGTTCACTATCGTGTCCGGAGAACGCTCCATTACAAAGAAAAATCCTGTGAACAGCAGATCCTCGTGTGCTTAATAGAGGAAGATAAAGGAAGGTTCATTGCGGTGCCTGGGTTTTCCTGTACTTCTTCGGCTCTTACTGGCAATAGGGACAGGTTGTGACTCTGTCGCTACTGCTGCGTTCTCTGCCATACGTCGCCATGTTCTTTTTTTGCTATCCTCATCGACTTCCTATTCCTACTCCTATTCAGCGAAGAAGACCTAGGAAGAAGAATTTCTTTCACCTGCATCGCATGGTCTTAATGCGGCAGCTGAAACTCATCCTACTGTCGTGATGTAGAAAACTGCTGCACCTGCTGCTTCCCCTGATGTTGCAGACTCTGCTACAGTTGCGTCTTTTGAGGCCGTGCCTGCTCATGATGACGGCTTCTTGCTCGAGACATCCTCCTGTGGAGTGGAAGGTGGAAAGCAGAATTTGTCTCCTTCCTCACCACTTATCCTTAACCATAGAGGGCTTCTTTTACTTATGTTTTGGAGTGTGGCGCAGGGTCCTTACCGGGACAAGTGTTCCGTGATGCTACAAGTCCAGCTATGCGGTCTGCTTCCTTTCACTATGAAAAAGATCCGTCTCCCACGACACAGCGTGTAACGGATTTCTAGAACGTTCTTCCGGGTCACCTTCCATAGGAGTTCAAATTCTCTCGTGGCGATACCCGCTTTGCTTGTGATGAACAACAAATCCCCGAGGGTTCGGTCTTGGGCGAAGAAAGCCACCAAATTGTTATATGTAATGTCAATGACCGACGGGGGAAGCGTAATTTGGGTTTTCCTAGATCCCATATATTCCGTTGGCACCCTCACTGATTTTGCAATGAAGATGCTCTCAGACAACTTCTCGCTTGCCTCATTGTTGCTTAACAAGATATTCCACATGGCGTTATGACCTTTCACTTTCCGGCGTTTTGAGGCTCTTTAGTACATTCTCCATTGTCTCACTACAAGCCCTCACCAACCTTATGGTCTTGTAGAATGATATGCATGGATAAAACGAAGAAATAAACAATCTTCTACACGGCTATACATATTTAAAAAAATATTATATATAATAAATCCATTTCCAACTGAAAGTATTGAATTAAAAAGATTCTTTGCGAAACAAATTATGATAAATTATTTATGTTTCAGCTTTACGATACAAACGAATCGAAAGATTTTATTTAAAAGAAACAAAATACATCTACGTGCAAGAATATATGTGTCACGTATTTATGTTGTTTGATGTAGGCGTATAATTTTGTAGCAGTCAACAGCTGATATGAAGTAGACAAGACGGCCTGGAAAATTGCGTTATTGATACAACTATCTGTTGAAAAATAAATTGGTTCAATTTTTAATTATCACCATTACTAAGGTTTTTTTGTAATATCTTATACCCGAATAAATATGTGAAATGAGTGTAACAAAGGTTTGAGAATTTCAGTTTGTACAACAACGAACGAACCCAGGTCAAACGTTAACTGAAAAACTAAATCTATGAATAAACATGATCGCTTTATAACGAAACATTGGCTCCATAAATCCAACAATTAGCTTATGTAATAAGAATAATGATTAATAAATATATTCCAAATTATTTTATATCCATTTTAAGGGGGGATAAATTGTTGATCTTTTTCTGAAGCAGACAGAAAATATTAATTGCCTGGAAATTCAAAAAGAATTCGCATATAACGTGTCTCATATAACGTTATATATGATTATATATATATATATATATATATATATATATATATATATATATATATATATATATATATATATATATATATATATAAAATCAAAATCGTGGATATATTTGTGGATATATGGAAATGATCGTCCAGTCAATAATAAGTCTCAGTAATCAAATCGTTAATAGACTAATTAGTATCGACGATATATAAGCTAATGCACATGCCCCCACTACACACACACACACACACACACACACACATATATATATATATATATATATATATATATATATATATTGGTAACATTAGCAAATCATCATCATACTCTGGTATTAGCGTTTGCTTTAAGCTAATTGTTTCGTCCGAATTCTCCTAATAATAGTAAATGTCGACCACATAATTTCATTATGCATTTGCTAAGTAAGTTAGGTTCAGACTTGAGTCGAAGCTGTAGATTTCAAATGGCAGATACTCAAGCTAATTGGCTTATGCTCTGCATTGAAGTCCTTCCTGACAGGTAACTATTTGACTTTATTTCTCATTATTCAGCTTTATTGGCTCTCAAAGCCAAACACGAAGTTTCGACCGATTGGTATTTTAGCCAATCCAGTTTAAAGTAAAATTGCTCCCCTCCACAGCCGCCCGAGAGGTGAGTGTTCACAGCTTGATCGTTATTGGATATTTGGGAATACTAAAGATCACTATCATGGAATTTATTGCACACAGACCGGGTAATAAAATTATGTATTTCCTAAATAGCTAAAAACATACATCTCTAAATACACTGAGGCGAATAGGACTGGCTTTTTTATTTGCAGCTCGATGATTCTCCAACTAAACATATATAAGCATTGAATCGTACGAGTAAATGTTTCCAATTGTTTAGTGAATATGCAATAATTAAAAGTAGTAGCATTCATATATATATATATATATATATATATATATATATATATATATATAGCCGAATTCTTTTAAGGTCTTTTTTTTTCTTTTTTGCTCCATCACTTTTGTTAGTAAGTATCCCTAAACTACACAATCAGTTAAAACTTGAAGGGGGAATATACTCTATTACCTGTAATAATTGTCACAAAAAATACATAGGATATACCTCAAGGAATCTAAATGAAAGAAACATCTTAGAAAACAAAACAGACATTTTAGAAAACAATATTTTAAATATGATGGTTGCCCAGCAAACGAGATCAGGGATTTTATAGAAAAAATACTACTCTGATCAAAGAAGATAATAATTGACTACGACTTAAGTGTCTAAAGATTGCCTTCCTCGCAAGGTCATCTACAATAAATTTGCGTCCTGGCTCGTGCAACATTTCACCATTTCTAGCAGATCTTCTATCATCATAGTGTGAGATACGTGCTACCATAAGTCGTAGAAAGATGACGAAAAAGACTCGAAATGAATTCGGCAATATTAAAAAATTAAATTTTAAAATCCCCGCACATTTCCTTCGTGCGAGTGAGTGGTAGTACCAACATAACATATATAGTACGATGAAACCCTAAAGAACGTAACGCGCCACAAGTAAACTTTTTCACTTAGTCATACAATCTCCCTATTAAGTTCCTTAATATATAAAAATATATATCGCTATCTCATATATATATATATATATATATATATATATATGATGAAATGTACTTTTAGTGTATGCCTATATACGTGTTAAAGTACTTAATATCAGGTTAGATAATATGTCAATATAAAAGTGGAGATTTATGTCAGCAACCAGCGGCGACAGTGTCATGCATTAATTACTACGAAGACGACATGGCGATTGCGTTCAATTATGGAACATACTATCGCCGCTCTGGGGCAATGTCTGCTTTTATATATATATATATATATATATATATATATATATATATATATATATAGAAAAAGTTTCAAATTAAAAATTATAATGTTTTTTTTATGAAAGTATTTATTTATTTATATATATATTTATATATATATATATATATATATATATATATATATATTTATATATATATATTATATATATATATATATTGTGGCTTCTCATTATGCTATATATATATATATATATATATATATATATATATATATATATATGCATGTATTTATATATATATATGCATATATATATATAAATTTAAGTTTAAATTTAACGTTGGTCATATTTGATTGGGTGATCAGATTAAAGCCCACTAATCTTAAAACCCCCTAGTTTTTTCATCCCTTTGAAAAAAGATTTTGTAATTTGCTTTTAAATCTTAAATCTCTCACTAACCAGTAATTTACAATACGCTGATGAGATGAATTGATATGTATTGAAACACCAGTGCAATTGTGTGGCGATTTTTACATATTTAAAATAAATAATACTGCTCTACTCTGTATTGAGCCCTTTCTTAAATTAAATGTTACGAAATTGTATTCTCTTCATTCTCATCACACCTGGACACACACACACACACACACACACACACACACACATATATATATATATATATATATATATATATATATATATATATATATATATATATACACTAAATAAAACACCTACGTGAAGTACTCGATCTGTGCTAATTCCTATATTTTGACAGTGGTTATATATATATATATTTGGTACACAGTATTCCCCTTCTATAAATCCTATAATTGATTTCATATTTAAGGACTGCTATTCAGCACTATCTCGATTTGTAATGCTGACAAAACTTTCTTAGCATTCCATATGTTTCCTTGTTACACGAAGAAATATTTTCATGCCTATGTCTTCGTCTGTTCATATCTATCTATCTATCTATCTATCTATCTATCTGTCTGTCTGTCTGTCTGTTTGTCCGTCTGTCTAAATTAATGATATCTGACCTAGGAAGACGGAATATTATATTTATAACACTTTTAAAGATAGAATATAAATTCATTGCCTTTAATGTTTCTTCAAATAACCCGGAGAACCGTTGGGCTGCGATCGTAAAATATAAAACAAAAATGTCTGCAGAAAAAAAAATGTGCGTCTGGGAAAAATAATAGACTAATAAATCTATTTGTAGAGTTTTATATGCATCTATGAATATAGATTGGAATCAATCTATTTAATATTTTACAAGTACCCAAATGTATTACACTTTTGGAAGGAATACATTTTTAATGTCTTTTTTTAGTTTTTGAAATATTATTTTAGCCAAATGGTACAGCAATCAGTTATGTGCCGTACGTGTTACACGCTTAGGCGATCATGTATCTTTCGATACATGACTGACGAGGAAGATTTTCTTCCACAGTATGTTGCCATTTCTTTCTGTGGTAGACCAGGTACCATCGAAGGCTATAGAACCTGGTCTCTCCTGCTGTTTACCCATAGCTGGGGAAGAAGAAAAGAATTCAAACCTTTCCCAAAGGTAATAGGACGTAAGTCAATGTAATGAATTTGACTGGAATTCGAACTCGGCTCTCTGATTCCTCAATCCGAACCGTTATCCATTCTATTGCGCTTGCTCGGATATTTTTGAGACTATTTCGCCAGTCATCACAGTCCTACATCAAGTTTGGAAAGTCTTTAGGGTGGTATAATTTGTGATAACATAGTTGATCAATGTAGGTGATTACTGGTGGACCAAGTCGTCTTTGGGTTAAGGTTAGGCGTCCAGAGCAGTAGATCCCTAATAAGATTTCTTTTTTGTTCGACAGCAGTGTCCTGCAAAGCGCATTCTGCGTCCACTTACGATTGTAGAAATATCAATTATGAGTCCATAGATCTGTGATATATTTGAATGTTGTCGCTAAGAGATGTCAAATATGGCTACCAGCATCCGAGTGTAGATTCAAGGGTTTTAGTTAAATGTCCAGGAAGTAGCACCATACATTAAAACCGGCTCTACAGTGGTGCGAAATTATGTCCTTTTGAGGTTGTCTGGAAGATCAGATTTACATATTACATCCATTTTATTCAATGATTTATGCGGATTTTCACATACTTTTCAGCAGACATTATTTCACTTTCTAGTTATGCAAGAGTTTCAAGATATTTCATTAATTCCCATGTGACAGTTTGTATTGGGCTTTGCTGGTTGAAGCTTATGAATTCAGTTTTAGAGTTATTGCAGTAGAATCCAATATAATTAGCAGCATTTTCTAGATGATATCACAAAACTATGGAACTGGTAATACTGCCTGCAGTGATAGCTCGGTCATCTACATAGGCAATATCTATCAACTATTTAGTAGTATATCGATTAATAGTTTTGGTAAAACCTATATACAGTGTAACCCGGATATAAGAGAGATTTTCTCTGGTCCCAAATTAGAGCCTTTATTAATGTATATAAATTAGACCAAACCCGGATATAAAAGAAACCCGGATATAAGAAACTTCGTCTCCGGTCCCGACAACTCTCTTATATCCGGGTTACACTGTAGTAAAGATGACGTTCGTAGAGTGAAGATTGAATTCTTCCCCTACGCTTACTAAGTAAAAATATATTTCCCTGTACATCTTAATTAAACTGCATTTTAATTATAGCAAATTTAGGTACGTACATAAACATATACTGGGTATAACAGCAATTTTTCCCAAATTGTGTAACAGCATAGTTGTCCATCACACGAAATTTTTAAAGTTTAAAAAAACACGAAACTAATTGAGTTTCTTTTTTTCCAGCATTAGCCATTTTGACACCATTTATAGTAATATTCACTAAAAAAAAATTTTGCGTTACTCAGATAGAAAGAAAATGAGCAATGGTGAGAGGAAAAAGATCATTAAGGCTTTCAGTTACCAACATCCATACTCTGGCTTCCATCTTCAAAGTCCGTTCAATAAATATCAAGAGAACGGCGAATAATTTTTTTTAAAAAAATAGAGAACAGTAGAGAAGGAAACTTGACAAACAGAAAGAGGTAACATCATTACAACTTAGAGCTAAAGAGATCAATTAGAAAAGATCCAACCATATCCATAAATCGTTTGGCACGTGAGAGTACAGTTTGAACTATGACAGTCCAAAGAGCAGTGAAAAATGACTTGAAAATGAAATCATACGTAAAACCTGTAAGGCAACTTGTTAATCCAGGACAGAAAATTACAGGGTAAGACAGGGCAAAAGATCCTCTTGACTAAGCTGGAAAATGAACCTGGAATATATATATATATATATATATATATATATATATATATATATATATATATATATATATGGTTGGATATCAACCAAATATGTTAGCTCTATCTCTGATATTGAGCGCTTTCTAATAAGTACTTGTATATAATATATAAATAATTATACATATATATATTTATTTATATTTATATACACTTTTCATATATATATATATATATATGTATGTATGTATGTATGTATGTGTGTGTGTGTGTATACTTTATTTCAGTCTCTATAAAATTCCAATTGTTAGCTATGATTAATTAATGAACATGTTATTTCTTCGTTTATGATCGATTTCAGGACGATCCTTCTGTTAAGCTTGGAGAGTAATTATACATTTTTATTGCTCAAATTAGAGTCCAATAGTGTTATAAAACTTCATAGAATTCCAGTAAGATATCCTTAATCATTTCTAAGATACAACGGTTCAGAACTTAATCTAACAATAAGTTAATTTTGCTATTGATACGATTTGAACAATTTTGCTGTTACACACAGCACACAAATAATAATAATAATAATAATAATAATAATAATAATAATAATACAGACGTGTGGATCTGGCATTGAACGCCGTGTTGAAGTCAAAAAACAGAATATCATCCATAACACCTCCGCTGTCCCTGTGGTGCAATACAGTTTGAACATCTTTAATTAGACCATAGATGAAATTAAATGAATGGACGCCAAAACGAGAAAGCTTCTCACTTGCCACCGCATGCATCTTTCTAAGACTGATGTTGATCGTGTGTGTATGTCCCGATTCGAAGGACGCTGAATATTAGTTCAACTAGAACTGTCTAACAAAACTACAACAATCAGCCTTCAAAGATACCTGGAAACTAGAAGACTGGATGATGATCTGTGTCAAAGAGCATGAAAGATTTAAGAAACTGTATTCAGTAATGAAGTAAGCCAACAAGTTCAAATTGAAATTTCAAGTGAGTGAAGAAATGCAAGTAAAACATAATAACCTACTGCAGCGGCAAAAACATTAAAAAAAAAGGTAACAAAAGCTAATGCATTGACCAGATACATAAACGATGACAAGAACCTCCAGACGATTATTATTGCATACGTAGCAAAGAAGCTGGTGTAGACAGTCCCCGTATCCATTAGTGGCTATGTAGTGTAGGGTTAAAACTGAATCACAGATCAATCAAAGTTAATCGCTCAGACATCTTGATCAAGGACCGCAAAAAATGTGTCTTCTTAATAACATACCATTCCTTGCAGACTGTAATGTATCTTTGAAGATTTTCAAAAAACTATCAAAATAGGAGGACCTTGAAATCGAAATCTCAAAAATGTGGCAGATAGTGGCATCAATAATTTAAGTTGTACTTGGATCCGTCGGATTGATTGGAAATATTTCCAATAGACTCTTTGAATGAATACCTAGTAGGTCATGCCTTAAAGAAATATAAAAAAATTGTACTCACAAGCACAGCTCACACCTTACGAAGGGCTTTTTTCTATGTAAAATATGTTTGATTTTATGTTTCTTTGTATTTTGTTTTTTCCCCTAAAATCTGCTCAATGGAAAATGTCCTGATACCATCTTTGGCCTTTTCTCTCTGTTTGGGACTCGGAAAGAAATGGGTATACACCAGAAATTAAAGGAAATAATAATAATAATAATAATAATAATAATAATAATAATAATAATAATAATGAGATTTCAATACAAACACAGTCAGAACAATCAATGATAATGGCCCAGATATCGTGCTCAAAGACCACAAGTACAGAATGCCCTTTCTTATTGAGATTGCAGTTCATGCAGATTGTAATGTATCTTTGAAGATCTTCAAAAAACTATAAAATTACAAGGATCTTGTAGTGGAAATCTCAATAATGTAGCACATGATAACATCAGTGATTCCAGTTGTAGTTGGAGCCCTTGGATTGATTGGAAAATGGTTCAATATAAGCAACGAAGGAATGCCTGATAGACCATACCTTAAAGAAAGACAAAAAAAAATGTACTCAAATGTACACTTCGCACATTGGGAAGAGATATATCTATGTAAAATGTGTGTGATCTTAGAGTATTTATTTTTACCAAAAAAATGATCGGTGTAAAATATCATGACTTCATTATTGAGCTTAGGTCTCTGGTTGGGACCCAGAAGGAAATGTGTATACAACAGAAATCACTAATAATAATAATAATAATAACTGGCTACTAGTTTTGCGAGCTCAATGAACTGCTCGAGTAACTATTATTCCCCTGTTGCAGACGTTTGCTCAGATTCATTTGCATTTGTACAACACACACTGACCCCACCCTTTTTTTATACTGCAACTATGTGGAGTGGACTATCACTTTTGGGTCAGGAGAACAGTTTATTCAAACGCTACAGTAATGTCACCACAACGGTATATATCCCGACACCAGCAATCAAAGTACCACATATCCGTAACATTACAAGAACATCCTAGAGGTGACATATTCTAAAATACTTTATTTGATTTAATTCATCTGTCAGAGATAAACGCCAGGCCCAGCAGTTTTAAACGCGTTATTTTTGTAGATGTTCCTCTCGTAGCATATGGGGATACCATTCAGAAATGATATTTGACGTTTTATTTAGAACGCTTATTTTACCCTGGCACAAGGACAAATTAGAAAATAATAAGAATATTAGTAACTGTTTTCAAATTTAACTGTTTACGACCAGCTCGTGGTAAAAAAATGGATTCAAAATATTTCTTTTTCACTAAGATAATTATTTCTCTGATACCAGCCAGAGATGCCTTAGGTAAATAGCAGGACAAGCTGGGTTCTATAGTTTTGGGTTGCAACCCGTATAGGAGAAAGTAACTCTTCAAAACTGTATGCAGCTCTGGTGTAGCTCATACAACTAAAGGAAGGGCCGTTAGCATTATCTCAATGATCCCGACTGTAGTCGAATAATGGATTGATAACAGTGAGGTCTGTATTCTACACTAAAATTCTAAACATTATTGCCATGTAGGATTCATTTTTAGCGGCCACAGTCTTAACAACATAGAAAGGATTAAATATCAATTGCAATAAGACTGTATGCAAGGTTGCTAGCAAAAGGGCCAACTCAACATGCAAATTACAGTTTGGAGATACCAAAATCAAACTTAGATATCTGCAAACAGAATAAACAATATTGGCATTTTGGGACAAAAACAAAAATATTAATTTCCCTACAGACAAATATAAGATTATGGTATTAACCTAATGTCTGCGGATGTACATAAGCGCACCTGTTTTATTTTTTGTTGTTTTTGTACACAGCTCTTGTTAAATAACAGATCTTTTACAAGATTTCATAAGAGTGAATCCAATATATTTAATTACGTGCTAAGACCCATGGGAAAGGTATGAATCCGCTTCTCCATCCAGCTATGGGTAAATAGCTGAACAGTGTTGGTTCTATAGCCTTTGGTGGCAACCAATGTAGGAGAAAGTAACTCTGAATTCAAAACTGTATGTAGCCCTAAGATAGCATATACAACTAAAGAAAGGACCGTTTGCATTAGATCGATGATCCCGACTGTAGTCGAATCATGGATTGATAACGGTGAGGTTTGTATTCTACACAAAAATTCTAAATATTATTACTTATATAGCAGTGGTTGGTTAGTGTTACTACTAAACAACATATATGGATGAAAAGACGTTATGCACAGGTTCGCTCCTTAATGTTGTGGAATTGGTACTTGTACTGTTAGTATCTCTCAGTTGCATCTCTGTCTTCGAGCATATGGTGCTAAAAGAGGGTAATGATCAATTTAAGTCCTGCAAATAAACTGAGTTACGTTTTAAATATCCTGAGAGGCACGATGAAATAATGGATACCGGCGTGGATTTTAATAATCGGAGAGCCTAGTTCTAATTCCAATCGGATCCATTACATTCACATACGTAAATGTAATGGTTTCCCCTTGGGAAATGTAGGATTCCCCCAACAATAGCAGGACAAACTGGGTTCTATAGCCTTGGGTGGCAACCGGTCAAGGAGAAAATAACTCTGAATTCAAAACTGTAAGCAACCCTAGCGTAGCACGTACTATACAGCTAAAGAAAGGATCGTACTCATTGGCTCGATGGTCAAGACTACGGTCGAATGTTGATGATTATCCAAGACGTGTGATCGTTTGTCATGAATAATTTCTGTTTTCTTTATCAAATATTCTTCCATAGATGGAATCATTGCTGGAATTGATTTTTGGCGGGATAGCGTGTAGCTATTAATGTATTCCTACGCTTCAAAGAATTTAATTTTTCGATATTCCGTGAACTATATTTGCTTCTTTTCGTCTTCATTCTCGACTTTTTCATCTGTTTTTTTTATATACGCATATTTTATTTGCGATATTTCTTCGACAGACATTTTTAAACTACTTTGAAAAAAAAAAAAAAAAGAACATCGCTTCGCTAATCTTATCTTTCATTCCGGAAATCTGAAATAAGGAGAAACCTTTCTCTTGGTCATTTGTATTTGTTGTGCTTAAGTTCAATTTTTTCTTTCTTCGTTATTCCCTTCCGAAATTCTTTCTTATCTTTTAACCTCTTTTCCTGTCCGTTCTTTCGTCTTGAATCCTATTCTTCATTCAGTACGCTCGTCCTGGGTATGACGATAAACTACATCCGCGTCCTGGCTAAGACGATAAATTATCATGAAGTATTGAGGAGCGTGAAACCACCTGTTAATTGCTGGTATTCCCAAGTTCACCCTGAGCAGGGGTGGCAGCACCTGTTAGGGTCCAAGCTATGGGCAATTAGTTAACACCCAAACTTGGGTCAAAAAGTTTAAAAATAAGTTTTAATATCAGCAATACCTTTTTGTAAAAATATTACTACCAATGAATTTTTGAAGGAAAAAATATTACCAGCGATACATATTTGGAAAAAGATATTACCAGCAGTAAAAAAAGGTTGTCGGAATTAAATAAACCATGATGGTTGATATGCTGTAAAAGAAACCAAACCAAACCATTCAGTACGCATTTTGTCTTATTTTTTCCTTTCTTTTTCCATATTCTTCTTTTTATTTCTGTAAACAAAAAGGAAATAAAAGAAGCTTCCCCATTTTTAGTTTGTTATGTGAAATAAATCACTATATGAGGGGAATAAAAAAGTAACGAGATTGACGTTATAAAATGAAAACTACAACATATATCAATTCGGCATTTAATCTCCTTCGAAGTAGTCCACTTCTGAAGCGATAGAATTTCTCCAGCAACGGTAACACAGATAGAAGCATTCATTGAATTCTTTTATTTTTTTAAAAAAAAAAGAACGTTAAACATAAAAATGTCTTTAATAAATAAATTGTCGGACTTTGTCCATTTTCATCGCCATTTCGTATAACTCTTTCGTCCATTCCTGATTTTCAGTTACCTTGTTTCTGCAAGAAATTCCTATTTTATCGGATCTCAATATTTTTTATTTTAATTTCTTTTTCTTCCTTATTTTTCCACATTCTCGCATTTCGACTACAGCTCTCTTTATTACTTACCAAATTATTTTAATTTTGGCAGGATTTTCTTTCACTTGTCAGGAATGTATTTTCTTCTCTTTCCTTCTTTCTTCGGATTTCTTTCTTTCTTCTCTTTCCTTATTTCTTCATCTTTGTTTATTCTCATTCCTTATTTATTTATTCTCCTTCTTTCTTTCTTTTCGTTCCTTCTTTCTGACTTCTCTTCCCTTATTTCTTTCTTCTTCCTGCTTCTTTGTTTCTTCTCTTTCCTCTTTTTTTTCTTTTTAATGCTTTCTTCTCTTTCATTATTTCTTTCTTCTTCCTCCTTATTTCTTTCTTCTCTTTCCTTATTTCTTTCTTCTCTTTCCATATTTATTTCTTCTTCTTTCTTTCTTCTCTTTCCTTATATCTTCCTTCTTCCTGTTTATTCTTTTCTTCTCTTTCCTAATTTCTTTCTTCTTGTTTCTTTCTTCTCTTTCCTTATTTCTTTCCTCTTTCTGCTTCTTCTTTCTTTCTTCTCTTTTCTTTCTTCTTCCGGTTTATTTCTTTCTTCTTCTTTCTTTCTTCTCTTTTCTTTCTTCTTCCGGTTTATTTCTTTCTTCTTCTTTCTTTCTTTTTTTTCTTTCTTCTTCCGGTTTATTTATTTCTTCTTCTTTCTTTCTTTTTTTTCTTTCTTCATCCATATATATATATATATATATATATGTGTGTGTGTGTGTGTGTGTGTTTGTGATTTTCTGTGTGTGTGTAACGTATACAATATAGGCACGGGTAATAGTAGTGGGGTGACGAGGTTAAGTTTCATTCGTATGTCATGCTCTCGATATCAGGCAAATACTCATAGACAGTTTTAAAGTCATCACTTTTATCTCCCAACAAATGATTAATAGCAGGAAAAGTAGGAGAAATTCACACACACACACGTGCACACACACACACATATATATGGCAATTATTATTTTTATATATATATATATATATATATATATATATATATATATATATATATATATATATATATATATATATGTCCCTAAAATCTGGGCGCATCGGCAAAAATGTATGTTTTAGAAATTAAATTTTCAACATTTTATTGAATTGAAATATTAACAATTAATATCTTCAATATGACTTCCATCATTTGTGATGCAAATTTTTAAACTCTTTGTATGATTCCAGTGGACCTGATAGAATACCTCCACATTGCCATCAATTTTAGCACATTCACTCTGTATACGTTCAATCAAGTGTTTTCCATCTGTGATTTTGATTTAGAACACGTTCTCATTTTGTATAAGCCAGAAAAATATGTCACTTCTTTCTTCTTCCGACAAAAATTTATGACGATACAAAATATGTTTAATGAGATTGCCTAGGTGTCCAAACTTTAGAGATATACACACATATAGACACTATATATATATATATATATATATATATATATATATAACGTCACTTAAAACATAAATAATACTTGACGGATAGATCTGGACATAGTTGTTCAAATATCTATGTATATATATGTATATGTGCGTTTGTATATATATATATATATATATATATATATATATATATATATATATATATATATATAAATTATATATATATATATATATACTAAAACATCGTTTACAGTTTGTCATTTTTAATACATATATATATATATATATTATAATGTTGATTTATTTTAGTATATATATATATATATATATATATATATATATATATATATATATATTGTATTTTATATACCAAGATATATATACCAAGACTAATCCATATTATAAGCAAAAAATTTTGCGGTTTTCTCTTGTTTAAAATGTACATTTTCTCTCTTTAGAACAACTATAACCTTTTCCCTATATATACAGTGGTGTTGAAGAAGAGATCGTACATATCGAAATATTTCATATTTTTATTTGTAACATTAAATTAACAAAACAGGAATATATCTGCTGTATCATATTGCATACTAAAAGTGTATGCATATAAAACTAATTAATATCCCATGGTTAAAACATATAGCAATATTTAAAGATTTAGCCGTTTAAAACAAGGATCGTACAGCAGAACAAAACATGTTTTCTCCATTTGATATTTTGTAGTAAAACCTTTATAAAGTTCAACGGCAACCAACCTCTTCCTGTAGTCTTTAATTAACGATTAGCATACTTTGTAGGTATTTTGGCCTATTCTTCCTGAGTAATTGTCTACAGGTTTTTCATGTTTGTTGGACCTCTATCACGGATCTTATTTTTCAAAAGCCGCCATAAATTCTCTATTGGATTCAAATCCCGTGACTGACTGACTGGGCCATTTTAAGATGTTAACTTTGTTATTAGCAAGCCAATTCTTCGTAATCTTAGCAGTATGCTTGGAATCAATGTACTGCTGGAAGATCCAATCAGGAGGAAGCCCAAGATTCTCTACAGATAGCAATACATTTTCGCCTAGGATTTGTTGATATGTTTCTGCATTCATTCTACCGTCTACAATTTCTAGTTTGCCAAGGTCTCGCATCGAAAAGCAGCTCCAAACCATTTTACTATCCCCACAAAATTTGACAGTTGGTATGGTGATCTTGGGTGCGTATGCTTTGACGTCTTTCCACCATACATGATTTAGGGAATTGTGATCGAACAATTCAGTTTGACTCTCATCTGTCCAAAGTACTCTTTCCCAATATTAATTTTCCTTATCTTTATTCTCTGTCACAAATTTCAACCTGGCATCTCTATGCCGTTTTAGAAGGAGTGGTGTCTTTCTTGGGGAGCGCGACTTCATACCTTAGCATGCGTAATTCATTACTAATCGTTGGCTTAGTTACCTTAATTCCTGAGAAAGTCAGTTCATTCTGTAGGTCTTGTCCGATGGCCATTGGATTATTTTGGACCTGTCACATCAACTTTCTTCGTAATCTGGGAGAGATCTTCCTGGGAGCCCCGGGTCTGCCTTTGTTCTCAACAGCATGACGTCTTTTAAATCTTGCAATAAATGAACCAATTGTTGAAAAAGGTATGTTCGTGTCACTGGGGTTGTTTGTGTAACTTTTTCCATTGTTCTATAGCTTAATAATTAGCTCTTTTTTTAGCACAAGCCATTTCCTTACGTTTAGCCATAATTAGAACCGTTATGAGTGAACAGTGACTGCAGAACGATCCAATTTTGAACTGAATGTTGCAATAGAGTTACTGAGAATATTCTGGAACAGTTTAGAATTTTCTACTTTGAAGTACAACCAAAATCTACCGTATTATAATTTCCACTATTCGAAATATAAAAAATTGAAAAACTATCACTTATCGATGAATTTCTAATTTTAAATGACAGATTCTGATTGTATGCCCCAAAATACATATATAACATTGTTATTCGAGGTTTTCATTCGCTATAAGTGAGAATAACAAGCATTTGTTAGTTGTACGATCACTTATTCAACCCCATTTTGAATATATATATATATATATATATATATATATATATATATATATATATATATATATATATATATATATATATAGTATGTTGACATTTTCTGCCCATAAACACACCCTCTTTAATAAGTTTAAGGGTTTGTATAACTTAAAACCAATTACTCAATTACTTTGTCGTCAGTTGCAGTCACATTACAAGAAATTGTGAAGTGTTAAGCTACTGGCATTTTGTGACAGCATCCTTAAATTTGCGAAGCTAATTTTACTTTCTCCTCGGCCATTTATTTCGAGATGTCTATTTTAAAGAACAAAACTCTCCACGCCGGAAAAATACTTGGTTATTTTCAGGGCAACTCACGGCTACGCCGACCATTCTCCAATCTTAGTTTAAAAGTCCACAGACCTTTCTCCCCTAGGAGTTAAAAAGTCCACCGTCCCAACTTTCTCTCCCAATAGATGCAAAACTCGACGTAGCCGACAAAGAACTTGAAGTCTTTATCGAACTTTTTCGCAAAGTTTCAGCACTTGACCCTAGTTACCTTGTCCGACGCCTCTTCTACAAGTACTGGATTAGCCATTGTTCGAAGATTCCAGCCAAATGCTGAAAGGATTTTTTTTTCTATTCTGCGAACATCCTTCCGCGTTTACCAATTGTTTCGGCTGTCTTTTAATTCTGTCTACCACCTGACTTTGCGCACTCGACAACAGACGTCCATGCCAAATTCTACTTAGCGTTTGCTTTGTTATTTAATTTTTTGTTTTCTTCTTCATTCTCCCCAGTACTAGCAGGACAAACGACCAAACATGGTATAGCAATTTTCCTTCGGGTATATATTAGTTTTCTTTCTTTCATTTTTTTTCTTGTTTTCTTTCTTTCTTAGTGATGGGTCTGCCTCTTTCTTTTTGTCTTCCTTTTATCTTAGTCATTTTTCTTTCTTTTTTTAGTTGCATATTTGCCTCATTCTTTTCTTTCATTTTTGTCTTTCTTATTTCTCTTTCTTTTTTCTCACTTGTCTTCTTTATCTCTTTCTATTTGTCATTTTTTGTTTCCAGTTTATATACTTTCTTCTTTTTTTTCTTTCTTTCTTCTTTAGCCGTTTACTGTTCGTCTTTTTTCCGTTTCTTTCTTACATATTTACCATCTTTCTAACATTTTTTAACCCACTTTTTATTATTTTCATCGCCATTTCGTATAACTCTTTCGTCCATTCCTGATTTTCAGTTACCTTGTTTCTGCAAGAAATTCCTATTTTTATCGGATCTCAATATTTTTTCTTTTAATTTCTTTTTCTTCCTTATTTTTCCACATTCTCGCATTTCGACTACAGCTCTCTTTATTACTTACCAAATTATTTTAATTTTGGCAGGATTTTCTTTCACTTGTCAGGAATGTATTTTCTTCTCTTTCCTTCTTTCTTCGGATTTCTTTCTTTCTTCTCTTTCCTTATTTCTTCATCTTTGTTTTATTCTCATTCCTTATTTATTTATTCTCCTTCTTTCTTTCTTTTCGTTCCTTCTTTCTGACTTCTCTTCCTTATTTTTTTCTTCTTCCTGCTTCTTTGTTTTTGTTTTCTCTTTTTTCCTTTTTTTTCTTTTTAATGCTTTCCTCTCTTTCATTATTTCTTTCTTCTTCCTCCTTATTTCTTTCTTCTCTTTCCTTATTTCTTTCTTCTCTTTCCATATTTATTTCTTCTTCTTTCTTTCTTCTCTTTCCTTATATCTTCCTTCTTCCTGTTTATTCTTTTCTTCTCTTTCCTAATTTCTTTCTTCTTGTTTCTTTCTTCTCTTTCCTTATTTCTTTCCTCTTTATGCTTCTTCTTTCTTTCTTCTCTTTTCTTTCTTCTTCCGGTTTATTTCTTTCTTCTTCTTTCTTTCTACTCTTTTCTTTCTTCTTCCGGTTTATTTCTTTCTTCTTCTTTCTTTCTTCTCTTTTCTGTCTTCTTCCGGTTTATTTCTTTCTTCTTCTTTCTTTCTTTTTTTTTTCTTCTTCCGGTTTATTTTTTTTTTTTTCTTTCTTCTTTCTTTCTTCTCTTTTCTTTCTTCTTCCGGTTTATTTCTTTCTTCTTCTTTCTTTCTTTTTTCCTTTCTTCTTTCGGTTTATTTATTTCTTCTCCTTTCTTTCTTCTCTTTTCTTTCTCCTTCCGGTTTATTTATTTCTTCTTCTTTCTTTCTTCTCTTTTCTTTCTTCTTCCGGTTTATTTTTTCTTCTTCTTTCTTTCTTTTTTTTCTTTCTTCTTCCGGTTTATTTCTTTCTTCTTCCTGTTTATTTCTTTCTTCTTCTTTCTTTCTTCTCTTTTCTTTCTTCTTCCGGTTTATTTCTTTCTTCTTCTTTCTTTCTTTTTTTTCTTTCTTCTTCCTGTTTATTTCTTTCTTCTTCTTTCTTTCTTCTCTTTCTTTCTTCTTCCGGTTTATTTCTTTCTTCTTCTTTCTTTCTTTTTTTTTTTTTTCTTCTTCCGGTTTATTTCTTTCTTCTTCTTTCTTTCTTTTTTTCTTTCTTCTTCCTGTTTATTTTTTCTTCTTCTTTTCTTTCTTCTCTTTTTCTTTCTTCTTCCGGTTTATTTCTTTCTTCTTCTTTCTTTTTTTTTTTTCTTTCTTCTTCCGGTTTATTTCTTTTCTTCTTCTTTCTTTTTTTTTTCTTTCTTCTTCCTGTTTATTTCTTTATTTTCTTCTTTTCTTTCTTCTCTTTTCTTTCTTCTTCCGGTTTATTTCTTTCTTCTTCTTTCTTTCTTTTTTTTCTTTCTTCTTCCGGTTTATTTCTTTCTTCTTCTTTCTTTCTTTTTTTTCTTTCTTCTTCCTGTTTATTTCTTTCTTCTTCTTTCTTTCTTCTCTTTTCTTTCTTCTTCCGGTTTATTTCTTTCTTCTTCTTTCTTTCTTTTTTTTCTTTCTTCTTCCGGTTTATTTCTTTCTTCTTCTTTCTTTCTTTTTTTTCTTTCTTCTTCCGGTTTATTTCTTTCTTTCTTCTTTCTTTCTTCTCTTTTCTTTCTTCTTCCGGTTTATTTCTTTCTTCTTCTTTCTTCTCTTTTCTTTCTTCTTCCGGTTTATTTCTTTCTTTCTTCTTTCTTTCTTTTTTTTCTTTCTTCTTCCGGTTTATTTATTTCTTCTTCTTTCTTTCTTTTTTTTCTTTCTTCTTCCGGTTTATTTATTTCTTCTTCTTTCTTTCTTCTCTTTTCTTTCTTCTTCCGGTTTATTTCTTTCTTCTTCTTTCTTTCTTCTCTTTTCTTTCTTCTTCCGGTTTATTTCTTTCTTCTTCTTTCTTTCTTTTTTTTCTTTCTTCTTCCGGTTTATTTCTTTCTTCTTTTTTCTTTCTTTTTTTCTTTCTTCTTCCGGTTTATTTCTTTCTTTCTTCTTTTTTTTTCTTCTCTTTTCTTTCTTCTTCCGGTTTATTTCTTTCTTCTTCTTTCTTCTCTTTTCTTTCTTCTTCCGGTTTATTTCTTTCTTCTTCTTTCTTTCTTTTTTTTTCTTTCTTCTTCCGGTTTTCTTTATTTCTGTTTTCTTCTTCCTTCCTTCTTTATTCTCTTTCTTTATTTTTCTCATTCCTTATTTCTTCTTGGTCATTCTTTCTTTTCATTCCTTACCTAATTATTTTGGTTCCTTATTTCTTTCTTCTTCATCCTTCTTTCTCTTCTTTCTTTTTTTTTTCTTTTTGCTTTTTTTTTTTTCCCTTCTTCCTTCACTTTTTTCTTGCTTGCTTTCTATCTTCCGTCTTTTTTTTCTTTCCTTTTTTTATTGTTTATTTTCTAGATTCCTTTTTCATCTGCTTCATCCTAAGCTTTCCACCTGCTCCTCCTTTTTTCTTTGTTAAACTCTCTCTCTCTTTTACGTTACAATGTTTCTTTGTTTCTGGACTCAGACGATTTTTACATCAAATCCTTTGGATTATTACGCGATTTCTTTATTCTTTTCGTTTTTATTTTAATTCTTTCTTTCAATGTTATTTTTTTTACATTTTTTGTCTAGCTGTCTTTATTTCCTTCATTCTTTCTTGCCTTCTTTCTTTTTATTGTTCTTTTTCGCTTTCTAGAATTTTTTCTTTATTCCGTTTTCTATTATCCTTTCGTTTTTTTTTCTCATTCTTCTTTTTTGATTTCATTCTTTCTTGATTATTTGCTAGCTTCGTTTTTCATTCTTACTTAATTGCTGTATGTTTATTTCCATTTCTTGTTTTTTATTCATACCGTTGCTTTCTAATATCCATACTTTATTTTCTCACTTCTTTTCGTGAATCCATTCTTCAATCTTTCTTGATTCCTTCCTTACTTGCTTGATTGATTTCTATGTTTCACTTCTTATTTTTTGTGTATTTCGTTTGATTCGTTTTAAGTTTTCCAAAATGATTCTCTCTTTTTATTTCTCCAAAAATTATTTTCTTCTTGTTTTTCTATATATTTGTTTTGAAGTCTACTTATATCTGCTTAGCTGATTAAAGATTTCCTTACCAAATGACCAAATGGCACTTTTATTCTTTCTTTATCTTATTAAAGTTTATTTTTACATCATTTTTCACATTTAAAAATGTTTTTATTCTTTCCATTTCTTTCTATTTTTTTCCGACATTTCTGATTTACTTGGTCTTCTTCTATTTTCTTCTTTTGCAGTCGATTATTTTAACCCTAATGAATATTAAAATATTCACACGCTTTATTTACTCCACTCCTTTTATATTTAATTCTTTCAATTTCTTTTAAATGTTATTCTTTTAATATTGAAATTTCATATTTATATACAAATAATTTAATTTTTCGATATTCGATATATTTTCGATATATTTATTTAATTCCGACTTCATTCCCTATTTTTTAAATTGAATTTATATACAACTATTTTATTTACAATATTTTTTCGACATACATTTTTGAAAGAATATCTTTAAAAATCTCTTCGCTAATCTTGTCTTTCATATCTCTTTTCTTCTTCCATTTCATATATCTTAAATTACGAGAATCTTTTCTCTTGGTTATCGCATTTGTTCTCCTTTAATTTCTTCTTTTCTAGATTTCTTTCTTCATTGTTTCCTTTCTAAGTTCTTCTTTCTAATTTACAGTCTTTTCTTGTCTATTTTTTTGTCTTGAATCCTTTCCTTCATTCATTATTTTGTGATGCCTTCCATTTCGTGTTCTTCCATTACAAAACTCTCCTTCCAAGCTCTACTGTAAACAACGGAAGTGAGCAAAATATATTATAACTTATTGTGCCTGCAAGACTGATTTCAAGAGCAGACTGTGCCAAACGGCTTCGCACCTCGTTCTTTAATTCCGTTAGCATAATATTAATTCCGATACTTTGAGACCAAATCTTGTTCATGTTCTGACCGGTCTCCTTTTTTTTTTTTTTTTTCTGGTCCTTATTTCTTTTGGTGTAGGAATTCCTTTTTTTCTGCCTAGTTTCTGAAGTAAATATCCATAATCTTATGAAGAAGATGCTTCCGAACCAACTCTTCTGTCAATTCTATAAAGATACGAGTAGATAGATTCGTCTCTCGTCCGGTTCACATTACTCCCCAGTCTTTTGAACAACATTAGATGCTTATCCCTCTTTAGGATTTATTTTCTGGTCCCTTCTAATGGCCAGTAGCCACTTGCATTTTAGTAGCATTATCACCTTGCTTGGGGTGAATTGATTATAAGATAAAAAGAATATCTTTCCTTTCTAAATTCTTTCTTCCCTCTTCCCTTTCTTGTCTCACTGTCTTTTATTTTGCATCCTTGTTTTGATTTATTCACTCTTTCTATTCCCCATCCTTTCCTCCTTAGATCATTTCTTTATTTCTTTCCTTACTACATTAGTTCTTGCTTTTTGTCTTTTCATCATTTCCTTATATCTTTTTAATTATTTCTTTATTCATTGTTTCTTTTTCACTCTTTCCCTGTTTGCTTTCTTTCCTCCCCTCCTTTTTTTTTCCTTTGTCCCCTTTTGTTCCTTCCTTTTTGACTTCATTCCACTTTTAACTTCACTTCGTTTTCCGGTTTTTGATTATTCCTTGGCGTCTTTCATTTTTGTAAATTGGTGTTTCCATACTTCTATGTTTTCTTCTTTTACCACATTTACTTTCACAATTAACATTCATCTCATTTTCATTTAACTTTTTTGGTTGCCGGTACATGTTCTTCTCATTAGAATGCCAGAGAAAACAATTACTTTTGTCTATCTCTCTGTCCCTCTCTCTTTTTTTCTCCCTCTTTCGCTCTTCTACTTTTCTCTTTCTCTTTCACACATTGATTATTTCCCTCGTCTATCTCACTTTATTTCTCATCCTTTCCCTCTTTCCCCTATCTCTCCCACTTTTCTCTCACTCCTCCGCCTTTTTTTTCTTCTATATCCCTCTTTATCTCTTTTGGTGCTTTCCCCTTTATTTATATCACCTCCTTTCTCACTCCTTCGCTCTTTATTATTTTATCACTTTCTTTCTATCTCTCTCCTTCAAACTTTCCCCTTTATTTCTCTTTCTCATTCGTTTTTACCCCCTCTATTTCTAATTCTCTTATTCACTCTTCCTCTCCCATTCCTTCGTTTTTTCTCTTTCTCTCTCTCTCTTTCTCTCTCTCTATATATTTTTTCTTTGTCACTCCGTCACTTCCCAACTTCTGTTCCTCTTTCTTTCTCTCTACGTTATTTGGAATATTTTGAGTATTTTCCTGTTTTTTTGTTTTTTTTTCGTCTTTTTTTTAATATAAATCCTTTCGAAGAAACACGGTTTGTCATTTATGGACGATTACCAAACACGCGTCGTTAAAATCTATATTAAGTTGGGAAGAAATTTTTAAGCTGGCAGCAGAAATCTTACTTCAACCTTAAGCGTTCCTCCTTCGAAGAATCGTCCCTTGACCTTCCAAGACAAAGAAAAATCGAAATTCTCTCCGTTGGAGCCAAAACATGAACACGGAAGGACAGTTGCTTACATGCATCCGGGTTATCACCAAAAAAAAAAAAATTACAGTGGAGCAGAAATAATTTGAAGAAACGCCTCCTCAGCTTGTAAAGTAAGTCAAATCGCTGCGTGTTCAGACCATTAAAATCAGCACTATGACATTTCCTCTGTTCATTCTGTGACCTATGTGAAGGGAGGTAAAAGTCGTAGGTCTCTCTTTCCTGACTCTCTTACGTTAAACGGCAAACGGGGGAAATGTTCTTCATTTTATACGAATAATTTCAAATTCTAGAACAAAGCTAAAAAACTTCCTACTAAGTTTGTGTAAAAGTTTCCTATACTTGTTTCTTTTAATATTAAAATAAAAATGTTTTTCTCTGTACAATCTCTTTTTTTCAAACGAAGGGGCACTGGTAATCTATGCCTAAACCTAATGCACTGCAAACTAAAATTTCTAAACACTATTTTGTTCTAAATTACAACAAGGGTCACGTAATTCTAATAGCGATTCTTTAAGCCCGGCTTAGATGCGGCACAAGGCCGAAAGTATGGGGTACCCAGCGAGGATCGAACTCACTACTCAGTCATAATCGATCTAGTAAGACAAGCTTTCTAACCAATACGCCACGTCGAGATGCCCGACGTAATCGTAATATACACGAAGCAAACGATCCATCTGTATTTATTTATATATTTCCGGTGTATTTATTTATATATTTCCGGTGTATTTATTTATATATCCCTGTCTAACCTCTAATAGAAAGGGAGGTAAAACAACTTAAGTTAGTAAATTCATGAATGGTAATTACCCTAGGTTGTTTTAATAATCTATACAAACAAAATATTTATCTTCATTTAGACAAAATAGTTTTCGAGCAAAATAAACCATTTAATTAAGCAGTTCCTTTAATTCTATGTTTCATTGATTGCAATATTATTTATTAAAGGCTTTCTTGTAAGGAACTCAGATTCGTCGTTTTGCTTCAGTGTGGTCATAAAACAGGTTTTGTCGTCGCCGTCTTTGTCGTTCTGTTCCTAAAGTGTTACTTCCGAGAGATTTCACTTTCATATTAAACATAAATGTTTTAACATAAAAAAAATATTGAGCTAAAATTATTTTATATAATTCCAGGTGTAATTAGTGAAATATAGATACCAAAGAACGTCTAAAATTATAAAGGGACCATTGCCTCTATTTTAGTTATGAACTCTTTATCCCGACTTTTATTGTATCTCTAGAAATTGTTACGAGATATTTTTCATTACATCTTATAATTAACACTTTCTAACAATTTTTTAACGGCACGAGTAAACTAGCATTAGATAACTGTATGAAAGCCCACTCTATAAACAAACTATATCTTTGTATTAGTTGGAGTATTCCTTTGCGACATTTTATGTATATAGTGTAAATAAGTTGTTCACTTCTATCTGGTACAGTATATTAGACATCTCTCCTTGACGCAATCTCAATCTATGATCTGAAGATTATGTTTAAGGATGTTGTCAATCTCATTACCTACTCCCATATTTGCACACATTCTGTAAGAGCTATTGAACACATATAACCATAAATATAGCGTAACTTACAACTGTTTCATTATATATATATATATATATATATATATATATATATATGTGTGTGTGTGTGTGTGTGTGTGTGTGTGTGTGTGTGTGTGTGTGTGTGTGTGTGAAATATAGTTTTAAGGTGTGCTATATTTATGGAATAAAGTGCTCAATATCAGAGATAGAGCGTATGTTAATATGATTATAAAAAGTGAACATTGAAGTCAACATTCAGAGGCGACAGGCTGTTTCATGCTAGGCGCAAACTTAAGGCCATGAATGTTGGATTTTCTTCGATTATATATATATATATATATATATATATATATATATATATATATATATATATATATATATATATATATATATATATATGGGTCAGTAATTGCATTAATGGGTAATCTATTCTGGCAGTTATTTTTTTGGGTGTGGTTTGTGTCTATTAATTTAATTATTTGTTTGGGTATATACATATATATATATATATATATATATATATATATATATATATATATATATATAAAATTTAAAATAATTGAAATAATAAAACTAAGGAAGAATATTAATATACAACCTAAATATATATATATATATATATATATATATATATATATGTTTTGAAGCGTAGAATCACCTCATAATTGCTGCTGTTCTCACGTCCAGCCTGACCCTGGATCGTAGCACCTGTTAGGGTCCCAACTATGGGTAAATAGTTATCCCTCTCTCCCAAACTGGAGTCAAATGGGACATGGCGCTGGGATATTGAAATGCTCAGGCTGGTTTTGGAGTGCGCGTTTAAACCACTGGGAGTGATGTTCTCCTTAGCTTTAGCCAAGGCAGTTGTCTAGGAGAAGGAAAACTCTGAGATAATACCTGCAACGTTTATGGTATCCAATGATGTCGACTTGCTCTTATTTTTGCTAAATATCATCTTTTCCTTAGAGAGTGGGAATGGCTCTGTGCACTGCTTTTCCAACTATAAAGGCTTCATGCACAGATATTGCTTAATATTTGGAGATCTTTCCTGCACTTGTCATCTTAATGTAGAATTATGGCTGGCGGTATCCTAAAAATGCATCTTGCATTACAATGAAGGTATGTAATACAATCGAAGTCAATGGCAATAAAGGGTCTGAAACCAGATTATGAAAGGTTCTCTCCCGCTAGGAATTTCTGGGAACCGCAACTTGCACCCGGCCGTCATCATACTACTGTGTGCAAACCACTCAATTTTTGGTTCTGGAATGTGCGTACTTTAATTGATATTGAAGCAAATATACAGCGGCCTCAGAGAAGATCTGCACTGGTTGCTAAAAAGCTCCAAAGATATGATATGGATTTTGTGGTCCTTTCTGAAACTAGATTTCTTGGGGAGGGTCATTTCATAGAGAATTCTGGTGGCTATACGTTTTTCTGAAGCGGGATGAAAAAGGGAAAGAGAGAATCTGGTGTTGCTTTTGCCATTAGGATATCAATAACTAGTCAGTTGGATGAGTTTCCAACAGATGTTAATGATAGAATGATCACTATGAGAGTTCTTCTACTACGTGGAAATATGCAACCTTGATTGCTGTTCATGCACTAACCACAGATGTGTCAAAGAAGCATTTTATAACGAACTAAAGTCTCTTATTAGGAAAATATCTGTAGCAGACAAAATTTTCATTCTTGGAGATTTTAATGCACTTGTGGGTCACAACTGTGAAGCATGGAAAGTTCTTGGTAAACATGGGTTTAAAAAGTGCAGAAGCAATGGTCTGTTGTTGTTGAAAATGTGCAGGGAACTTGACCTGATCATTGGGATCACAATGTTTTAACAAAAGAACAAATATAAAACAACATGAATGCATCCTGGATAAAAACAATGGCACATTGACAATATTCTTGTAGGGAGCCGTGATATACAAGATCTATGTATTGTGCGTGTGATGCGTAGGGCTCGATATTAAATTGTCCATCGTCTGGTGAGAGCAAGAGTTAAGTGTGCTGTCAGTAAAAAGTCAAATTGGGGACGGGTATCACTTCCAAAGATTCCGAATGTTAGCCGTCTGCAAGTTTCCTCGGTTAGACAGTATCTCGTCAATAGGATGGAAGCTTTAGTAAGTGAAAATAACGACATATTTCTGGGAGCAGTTTACAAGGCATGTGCTGATGTTGTTGGATTTACTCATAAGAAGCATCAGAATTGTTTTGATCAGAAGGACAAGCACATAAAAAAGATCTTGGAAAAGAAAAATAAACTCCACTCTGGATTATTAGTGATTTAACTGGTAACCAGAAGAAGGAAATTGAGGCCAATTTAAAGGCAATAAAAGCTGATATACAGCGAAAACTGCGCACAATGCAGAACAAATGGCGGAGTGACAAAGCTGAGAAAGTCCAGCTTGGATCGGATATGAAGGACAGTAAAATCATATACAATCTACTTCGTGAATTTTATGGGCCTTCTACTTCAACTGTTGCTCCTCTAAGAACTAAGAATGGAAAAAAATTCTTCGAGATCCCAATGATATT